TTAATTAAATTTATTAATATTCTGTTTTCCTTTCTCTCTCTAGTTCTCTGTATTCTTGTCTCTTTTAATTTTATTATATTTTAATGTTATAAAATACTTACTTGATAATCTACGAGTAATTCCGGACCTTTGAAATAACGAGAAGCTACTCGTACATTATATTCTTGACCAGGATGATAAAATTCTGCTAGTCCCCAGTCGATCAATCGTAACTTTCGGTTTTCATGGTCTATCATAACATTGTGCGGTTTCACATCCCTATGCATAATTCCCATACTGTGACAATAATCTAACGCCTGTACAAGAATAAAATGAAAAAAATTAAATTAAGCATGACAACATTCTTATATTTGTATCTGCAATTAGATGGCGCATCATATTACTCTAATATATTACAACAAATATTCACAAGTCCAAAATTAAAAAAAATTGCTAAAATTTTACAATTTATTATAATTAAAAGGATGGAAAAAAAACATTTTCACATGTTTCATCTTTGCTTTAACAAAGTGGAAATTCATATATAACTCTAAGATATTTCTTGTATGAGAGATTGTAACAGTGCATAAAATCGATGCAAAATCTATAGATTATTTTACATAAAAATGTCAATTTTTAAACAAATGAAATTTATGATATTAATATTTAAAATATTTTTATAAAATAAAAATAAATATTAATTACTAATTACTAATAATTACTAATAATAAACAATTGTAAAGATAATAAAGAAAAAAAGGATAAAATAAGATCATAAAAGTTATAGATTCTCTAAACAAAATCTCTAATAATTATTTTAAATTGTTTTAAAGATAGAACATGTGTAGCAATTTTTATTCTCATTCAAGACTGCAATATCTCACAAAGATGCAAGTTAAGACATAACTAAAATAATAACAATCTTATGTCTTTGATATTAAGGAAAGGAATACAATTATAATTTAGCTTTAAATTCTTCCTCGGACCCATGATATACACCTACATCTATTAAAACAATAATCTCGATGTACACCATCGATTGATATTTGGTTCCATTGCACTTAATAATACACGCACTTTTAATAATTCGTAGAGGTAGTATCTTATGTCGTAGTCAGTTAATGTCTGATATAATTGCTTGAAATCTGTGTTGTTGACATGTTCGAAAATCAGTGCCGGTGTCCTTGAAACTGGATCTTTGACAACTGCTTGGAGTGTAATAATATTGGTCCCACCTTTAAGATTTTCTAAAATTTTTATTTCTCTTTTTATTTTCTTCTTTTTAACAGGCTATAACAAATAAAAATGATATTAATAATACTGCAAATGAAGCATCAATACTGTTTAATAATACAAGATGTATAATATGATTATACCTTTAATATTTTCACAACACAATTTTCATTGTTTGTAACATTTATGGCCTCAAATACTTCGCTATATTTACCCCTACCCAATTTTCTTACTAATTGATAATCATCTTGTTGCCTGTATATCAAGAAACATACACATATATGTGTGTGTATATATATATATATATATATATATATATGTATATAAAGGTGATAAATATTATAACAGTATCGATATTATTGATATTTTATTGCAATAAGGCTTACCCCCAATCAACAACATAAGATTCATAGTCCCAGTATTCTCTTGGTTTATGTGAATTTACATCGGCATAGACACGTGCTCTACTTGGTAAAGCCATTCTTCTTTCAAAGATATTATTGATAAATGTCTTGTTGATTGGTGTACTGTCTCGACTGTTTATTCCAAACTTATAACTATTAGCAATTCTATCTCCTTGGCTTATCCAACTACGTACATGTGAGAACAGTAATAAACCTAAGTAATTTATACAATTCTATTAAATTGAATATTTGCATTTATAAGAAGCTATAAACAATATAATTCAGAAGAAAAATCAAATAAATAGGTAAATATATTACTATATAATAATAATCTGACAATAGTAAAGTTCAATAGTTGGTTCTAGTTCTAGTTATCTATATATTGAGAGTAATGCAGAAAATTTTAAATACACAAGAATGTATCCTTAAGTTTAGAATTTATTACAAATATACACGTGAGATATTTTGAAGATCTTAACACACTTCAGATTTTCAAAGGTGAATATGGATTTTCTGCGATTAAAAAGTTGCGCCACAAATTCAAGTTTACTATTTATTTTCTACCTACAAAGAAAAGAAATATTAGCGCAAATAGAAATAAACGAAAACACATTTGAATTTTTATGTATTATAATTAAGGAGCACGTTATTTTCATTTATCGATTGTAAAACTAGAACTTTGGACATATTCGATCTACTCGGGAGTTTTTCAGAGAAATGAGAAAATCATATCAACTCGCATTAATATGAAGTTTCTTTTATAAGCAAAATTCGGGAAATCACGAGATGAACATACCAACAGCGGATGAGGCAAAAGCACGCGTAGGCAAGAGGTACAAGGCACGTATACACATGTACCAAGTAAATCACACGCCATCGCGAACAAGGAATTGATGTAAGCTTATTTCGGACTCACCTAAAGCATCCCGAGCCCGAATCTTGATCGGATTAAACACGATGGATTCCTGGACTCGTCACGAATGCACGAAACTTACTTCCGAAATTGCTAAGGCCGCGCGAACGCGTGAAACTTCAGATTTTTTAGGGCGGCCGGCTTCTCAAACGAGCGAGGTGCAAGATGGCAGCCGGCAACCCGCCACAAACTTCAACGTTCTAGATTGGTAAGTTTCTGCGCCATATCGACAAAGGTTGTGTTTCATTAGATCTGGAGGTCAATCATGTAACTTTACATGAAATTTTTCACTTTTCATTTTTCACTTTGTACTTTTCATTTTTCACACCTTGACATTTCACGTGAAACTTTTCACGTATAGCGATTATATTCGTTGGAGCTTGGATGCGTGAAAAGTGGTCCACAATAGGTGATTTAAGCTTTAAGAAGTAAGAAATTAACCAATTATAATCGAATATGAAAAGAATAATCGACTATTGGTCAATTTCTTACGACTTAAAGATTAAATACTTATTGTGGACCGACACTAGGGGATACATAATCGACCTTCCCCCGTCTACAATAGGTGATTTAAGTCTTAAACTATAAGAAATTGACCAATCAGAGTCGATTATTCTCTTATTCTTTGATTATGATTCGTCCATTTCTTATGGCTTAAAGCTTAAATCCTATTGTAGATCGGAACTTAGAAAAGATTAGTGTCGGTCCACAATAAATATTTAATCTTTAAGCCGTAAGAAATTGACCAATTGTAGTCGAGTATTTTTTTCATATTCGATTATAATTGGTCAATTTCTTACTTCTTAAAGCTTAATCTGTTGTGGACCGACACTTAGGAAGGTCTGTTCTTTTTAACTAGTTCAGAGTTTATTTTTCTTCTTCCAGTAGAGAGAAAATAAGAAAGAGAGATAAACTGTGAATTAGTACAATCAACTGTTCAGCTAAAAAGAACAGACCTAATATCGGAACGCAGTCTGAGTAGAGTTTTGGAACGTAAGCTAACGTAGGCATAAGTAACGTGAAAGAGTTGCCTGATTTAGGTTAAATATTAAAAAGAGGAGGAAGAGAAGTTGTCCATAATAATCGGTCTCTTTTGTACAATATATGTTAATTAAATTTTATTTATTTTAATTAATTTTTTTTGTTGAAATATGGACGAAGTAGAAAGTTTGCGACAAAGAATCAGAGAACTCGAAAATCAGCTGCGAGAAAAGAAAAATACAGATGCGCCGAGAAAAAAGATTGAACATATGTCAGAAGAAGTAGTAGATTCAAATCCCTATAGGTAAATTCAAAGTTTTTCTTGTTGTATCAGACTATTTAATTTATTTATATTTTATATAAGAACATTTATATATAAGAATTATAGCCCTTCTGAATCCTCTTTTATCAATAAAGAGGATTCAGAATCTTAGCCATACTATACAATTTTGCAAGTCTTATAAATTTGGAATTTTATTTTTTAATATCTTTATTCTAGTCGATTGATGGCGTTGAAACGTATGGGTATTGTTGAAAATTATGAGAAAATACGAGAATTAACGATAGCTATAGTTGGAATTGGTGGTGTTGGTAGTGTAACAGCAGAAATGTTAACAAGATGTGGTATTGGAAAGGTAAAAAAATTATAATACTATACTGTATATTAATGAATCATTATTCAATATTTTTTTGTATTTTAGTTGATCTTATTTGATTATGACAATGTAGAACTTGCAAATATGAATAGATTATTTTTTCAACCACATCAAGCTGGTCAGAGTAAAGTGGAAGCAGCAGCAAATACTTTGCATTATATAAATCCTGATGTTGAAATTGAAATACACAATTATAACATCACAATTCTTGATCATTTTCAAGATTTTATGAATACATTAAGGTACAAGTTTAAAAGTTTCTCTTTAATAGGAATTTGTTTATGTTATATTTATGTTTGTATATGTGTGTGTATGCGTGTGTGTGTGTGTATGTGTGTGTATGATAGGTTTTTCTATTGAATATTTTTTATAAAATTAACACGCTTGAACTCGTATTTTTGTAGAAATTCTAGTTTGAAGAATGGTCCAGTTGATCTGATACTCAGTTGTGTTGACAATTTTGAAGCTCGTATGGCAATTAACACTGCATGTAATGAACTTAATCAGAATTGGTTTGAAAGTGGCGTATCTGAAAATGCGGTATCTGGTCATATTCAATTTATTATACCTGGTGAAACAGCTTGTTTTGCAGTAAGATTATTTGACTTTGATTTATATATAGAATAATTTTATTTAATTTTAATTTGGTTTTTCCATGGAATAAGAAACTTTTAAAAAAATATAATATTATTTTATATGGATAATATGATTCAAGTAACACATTTTTTTATGTTATTTTTTTATGTTTTATGTTTTTATGTTATGTTTTATGTATGTTTTTTTAGACATTAACATTTAGATTTTTTCATTTTTTGATGACCATTTTCATTTATAAATTAATTTTTCTATTTAGTTTTCATATAAAAATTAAGATATATAAAAAATTAATAATTGACATTATTCTAATATATTTTGGCACAAACTTTTGGGACAATCGTAAAAATTCAATTTTTAATTATTCTTTAATACTTTTATACTTTTTTACGAAATTTTATTGTAAAAAATATATAATTTTTTACTAAATTTTTAATAAATATATAATTTGTGCATTATAAATTGCATATCAAAAATAACATTATATTTTATGATCACTACATATACTAACTATAATTTCTTTTTACATTGATTGATTTGGTTTAATATATAATGCATTATACATAGAGAAGAAGAGTAATACATAGAGAAGTGGAAATCTTGAAATTAAAGCTTTTTTTCAGAAAATGCTTTGTTGATAAACATTGTATCATTTTTATATGATAATTATTTAGAGATTATATATTTTAAGAATTATATTATTTTTAAAAATTGTATTATAGAGTTATATATAATTATATTATTAACTTTATTAATTATTTTATAATTATACTTAAATTTTTAGTGTGTTCCACCCTTAATTGTAGCATCTAGTATTGATGAAAAAACGTTGAAACGTGAAGGTGTATGTGCTGCATCGTTACCTACCACAATGGGCATTGTAGCAGGCTTCTTAGTACAGAACGCTTTAAAATTCTTATTAAAATTTGGACAAGTATCTCATTACCTAGGTTACAATGCTATGGAAGATTTTTTTCCCGCTATGACTTTGAAACCGAATCCAAATTGTGATGATATATATTGTAAACAAAGGCAGAAAGAATATTTAGCAAGGCCACAAATTCAACAGAAACAGACTGAAATTATTGAAGAAAAACCTATACATGAAGATAATGAATGGGGTATACAAATAATTACAATTTATACTTGAAATATTTATAATTTTGTATATTTAAGAAAAATTTTTAAATATTATTTTTTCAATAGGTATTTCCTTAATTGATGAACATAGTGATCAATTGGATGAAAAAATACACGTATCAACTCCGGGTGTGTGGCATGCGTATACTATGTCAACATCTACATATGCAACCAATACAGAACAAAATGTTCCAGAATCTACAGAATCTACAGAACCAAGTTTAGAAGATTTAATAGCAGAGATGAAATCAATTTAAAAATAATATATATCACATTTCATATTAAAAAAAAAAATGTTAAGCTTTTCTTCGTTAGTTATCAACATACAAGTATAAAAATTGTATTTTGTTGATATGTAATTTTTTTACTGTAAACAAAATAAGTTTTATATAACAGTGCAATATTTTATATAATTATAACAATAATTAATAAAAAAATGAATTGTGAAAGATATACATATAAGATTAACATATAATTTAAGATTAATAAATTAGTCTTTTTTTTGTAATATAATACTTCCATAGACAAATACAATTTTAACAAAATTTTTTTATTCATTAATATTGTATAACAAAAAAGGAATTATATGTCAAATTTTTCAAAACATACTGATGGTCCCTCTTCTTCATACTCCTCTCTCGTCACTACAAGATTAGGAAATATTGTATTTTGAGAAAGTTGTTTCCCACCGAACCATGCATAAGTAATTGGACTAAAAATTGAAAAACTTATTAGGCTTTTCCGCAATATAAAAAAGAGCAAGTGAAATAAATAAATGCATACATATGTATATACACAAATAGGGTGTCTCATTTTAACTTATGTATCGAAATATCTCAGAAAGTACATGTCAGAGTTACATGTCCAGAGACATGGAAAAACATCAGAAAAAGTTATTAAGTTGTCAAAAGGTTTCAAGGATTCCACATGATTGATATTGATTTATTTACAGATGGACACTACCGAGATATTTTATGATCGCGCGATTCTTTTAAACTTTTGAATCAAATTTTTCAATTTAATGTCAATATAAGTGCTTTAAATTATTCT